ATATATTTAGACATGGCATCGTCTTCCTTTACCTTCCATTTATGAACAGACAAAGACTAAGTGTCTGACTGAGAGAAGTTACCACATTTTGAGAGATTTACTTCATGCACGAACTACATCAGGACAGCACAGATGAGTCCCTCCCTGATTTTGTAGCATATAAACTGTCACAGCACCAGAGGATGACTCAAACTGTGGCATCCCTGAAGTGACAAAAGAATGAGGAGCCAACACAAAGCAGCGCTGAGTTTTCTTCTCTGACAAGCTCGTGCTTTGTGGTTACTCTGCAGTCATCCTCTGAAAGACGTCAGTTGCAGTCAGTACTGCTAAAGTTGCGGAGAGATCAGATCTCACCTACAGGTTTTTGAAAATTCAGCCATCGTCTTTTGACGATGACTAATTTAGTGCCCAAATAAAGTTTTTTTCCTCATATGATGTTGCTAATAGACACCTTAATATATTTCTTGCTTGATATTGCACACCAAATCTAAAAAGTTCACTTGACTAAAAAATGTGAACAGACTGCCAATTTCAGTACCGAATTAATTCAACCACTATCATATTTTGAAATCTGTCACATCACGCCAACAAGAATTCGAGTCACTCAAAACAGGACTGTGAGGCAGTACTTAGCCACAAAGCACAGCATACAGCTGTGAACATGTTTAGCTGGTTATATTTACATCAGACAAGGACGCTACATGATAGGAGCTCTGATGAAGCTGGAACATCACTGCATGTCCAGGTCATAAGACAAGAAGCTGAAAAGTCCAAGGATCAAAGAATCCAAAATCAAAGAGTCGGATTCATCATTGTTTATGAAGATGGTTGATGAGAACCATCTCTGAAAGTTTATGGACTGACACGATATATATGGAGTGTTATGTTACTTATTTAAAATTCACAATATCCTGGTTTTTCAACCAGTGAGGACAAAGCAACGAGAACTACAAATTAACAGAAATTTCATCTACAGCTGTGAAAATAAGCAGGGATAGATTCTTATGCACCAGCTCACCACTTTATTAGGTACATCTGTTCAACTGCAACTACTCAGATCACATGGCAGCAACTCTGTGTAATTAGGCATGTTGATACAAAGACAAGACCTGAAGTTCAAAATGAGGAAGAAAGGTGATTTAAGTGACTTTAAATGGGGAGTGGTCTCAGAACAGAGCACTACCACCAATTATTGGGTACATCTGTTGCAGCACTCGTTGACCATCACATGGGAGCACATTTATGTGTGTAGATTTGGGGGGAAAGTGATTTAAGTGACTTTGAATGGTTGTTGATGGCATAAAGGCTCATAGAGAATCATGCAAAAAAGAAAAACTACCCAGTGAGCGATAGTTATCTGTGTAAAAATGCTTTGATGATGCAGGAGATCAGTGAAGAATGTTACAACAAAGGTATGAAGAAGACCATCTCTAAATGCACACCATGTTCAGCCCTGAAGCAGACAGGCTACAGCATAGGAATACCACAATGAGCTGCCAAGAACAGGAAACTAGGACTAGAATTTGCATCTCCTCAGCAATTAAAACTTATCAGACCAGGCAACACTGGAAAAAAAAACATTGCCTGGTCTGATGAGTCTAGATTTCCCTGTGAGAATTCGAATGGTAGGGTCAGAATTTGGTGTAAACATCATGAAAGCAGGGGTGAATCCTGCCTTGTCACAAAGCTCAGATCATCTAAAACAGATTTTTTGAACATGATGATGAGTTCACTGTACTCAGATGGCCTTCACCCACAAATCTGAAGCAATTGTGTGATGCTATCATGTCAATATGAATCCAAATCTCTAAAGAACGTTTTCAGGGGATTGTTGAACCAATGCCATGAGAATTAAGGCAGCTCAGGGGCCCAACCCTGTACTAGAAGGGTGTACCTAATAAAGTGGCAAGTGACTGTATAAAATGACACTGTCATGCTTTATTATGTCGGTATTTGTTGATATGATTTGAACTTGAAAAGCAGAAGTAACTGTTCTGTTACATAAAAACTGTCATTCTTAAAGACAGTATCGGATCAGTTTTAAATGCCACAGAAAGACC